TTTCAAGCCCAAAAGAACAGTGTGAAAGGAAAGGAAAGGAAAGCAGTGCATCCTACCCACGAGTCATGCAAATGCCAAATTAAACGTCAAGGCACGCAAGAATTAGGTGAAACAACCCAATTTGAACAAAGAAAAAGACATTAAGATCACAGAAAGCTCATCAAATTAACTTAAAACCAAAGTACTTCAACCTGCTCAACAGTGAGAAACCACAGTGAGAAACGAGAGAAGTTTCCAAAGGAAACTGCTCCCAAGGCACGACTAATCTCGAGACAGATAAATGCCTCAACAACGACTCCCTTTTGTCCCACCTGTTCACATGATTGGAAACTGTCCAAAGGGACCCGCGTTCTAACTTCGACGAGAGAGCAACAGGACAAGAACTAGATCACCAGCAGACTGACGAAAACAAGCAATGGAGAAGAAGACAGGTGTATGGGGATCGAGAAGGTGGTACAGGTGATGACTTTTAGATGATGCCCCCCCATGTGCAAGTGCAGCTGCGGAGGTTGACTTGTCCCGGGCCAGCGGTTCGAGGTGTGAGAGATCTGTCAACGCCTTGGACTCCTTCTAAGTTCTATCATTCCAATGACATGACAGTCGAAGACACCAAAAACTTTCCAAGGTTTAGGCCTTTTTCACGAAGTTCCCCATCTTGTCTGCATCTCAGAAAGAAAAGTGTCTGCATTTTTCTAGCTGGCAACAAATAAAGAAAAGTCAACCTGGGATCTGCATGATAGACTCCATAAGAATGATTTTCAGCTTGGAAATTGGAGGTAGCATGTTTAAACTGGTTATATGGCCGATGGGACGAGTCTATTTTGTATATATCCATACATTTATACTGAAGCATTTAGGTATTCACCGACTTTTTATGCCGCTAACTACATAGTTTTTGGGCTTTTTCTCCGTTTTTCTTATCTATGAATTTCCATCATATGTTCGATAACGTTAGGATATAAGGCTAAAAGTGTTGCGGCATTTAGTGGTTTAGAAACAAGCTTATGTTTAGAGGTGGTCATTTTGTACCCACCCGAGTCGATCGCCCAATCCACCCACCCTACCTAACCCGCCCGAGTGTCTAAGAAAAGTGTGTGACTCGAAACCGATCTGATTCAAATTCAAACCAATCTATATTACATGAAAACCAGATTGATCCTACTCAAAGAGGAAATAAACGAATTCGATATCAACCCATTTCAAAATAACTTACGCAACCCAACATGAGACGCTTTTTCTACAAACTCGGCAGTGTAGCGAAAGGAAAGCAATCGGAACAAAAAGCGTATCCATTGCTAGAAGCCTGGTAGCAAAGTGGCTGGATTGAATCCTCTAAAAAGAAAGAAAATTGAAATAAAAAGTTATATATGTTAAGGATTTATTGGCCGTGACACGTTCACTAAACAAAAGTCATTTTGAAGTTGATCGTTGTATTTCAAAAGATTTGCCTCGTCAGCCCTATGTAAGAAAAACATGGCCGTCGATACATAGGTATCTGGAAGGATAAAATTCAGCCATTGACAAAAGGTGAATGCCAAAGCCAAGTACGAAATCGATACATCTGACTTGTTCAATTGAATGGTCATGTTGATATGATAAATGACATGATATGTACAATCTATTTAGGTTATATAAGTAGTTTTGTTGTATTCTTTACTAATGACAACTTCATTATAGTGAATAATGTTAGCAATCATCATATTACTTTGTCAATGCATTATCCTTAAAATCTTTTATCTAGATAACTCAAGATAGACCTTGACTAGTTTCCATAAATTGAACAGAAAAGAATTGAGCTAGTAATCTTTCAGTTTTTTTTAAAGTTATTAGTTTTTCTATAAATAATTATGTTAAGCATAAAAATTTCATCGACAAAATGCCATAAAAAGGTAATGTGGTCTCAAAGAAGCAATCAGAGTTGTTCAAAATATCGGATTCAACACTCCCAATTTGTCTCATTTACTCGAACCAATTATGCGAGCCAATGTTCGGATCGAGTCTTTTGACATAATTCGTTAAACAGGTAGTGCTCTAGTCTGGTCGACACACTTTAAGGTGCGCCTAAAGCTGACACGACACAATTGTGGCTCACGAATGCGGATTGTTGTTCATTCGATTAAACTGTGATTCACCAAGATATCCCATGATTCGAGATTTATCTATCTAAGAGGTGAAATAGAAGATGAAAGATTAATGATGTGTATAGTGAGAGATGCAAGAGTTTGATCTTCCGTCGCACGTTCGTGTTCGACATTTGCGTACAAGTTGGGGTTATGTCTCACAACAAGGCCCAACGGCGATGTGGAGAAGAGATCTTCTTCTCCACACTTAGCTGGGTGCTATCTGGGCTACAGACTCGGCCCAAGGAAGTACTAACTGTGTATTATGTAAAGCCAGAGCTAAGTCCGAGAGAATGTTCGATCTTTTTTTTGCTAAAACAAACCTTCCATTGCATCAAAGAAGTTCAAATATTACACAGAGAAACTAGAGCCTACATCAAGATGGTATATTAAAGAAGACTCCACTAACACTATGTTTTAACTCTTGATGGGAGATCATTAAAAAGGAAAGATGATGCAGTTCCTAATTGATAAAAAGCCCATTTTGCAAGCTCATGAGCAACAACATTACTGGATCTAGTGGTCCACTTCAAACTCCATCCTGGGTTATTGCTAAGTAGTAAGTGAGAGAATGTTCGTTCATATGTTCGTAACGTGGCACTTCACTTTGCCTTTGGGATTGACACGTGGCCTCACATTTGCCCGATAATCAATAATTTAGTGATTTGCCATCCCTGCACCTCTATCTTGAGATAATTAGACAAACAGTCCCTAAAATTTGATCAAATATGTGATGTGGTCACAATTTTTAGTTTGTTCAGTATGATCCTTGAATTTTAGCACAACGTGCAATGTGGTCCCTGAATTTTTTATAAATGTTCAATCTAGTCCTTGAATTATTATATACCTAAATTCAATTTAGTCCTCGGATTATCTAGTTCATGGACTAAATCGAGCATGTATTAAAAGTTTAGGAATCACATAAAATAAATTAAAAGTTCAGGGACCACATTGCATATTTTGTCATTTTCCTTTCTATCTATTGAGCTTAAATTTAAAAAAGGAGGATAATAAAATTACAAAATGTTTAATATAAAATTGAAGGAACGTTAATTTGTGCTCACCATGTGTCACTTTACTTTGCTTCAGAGAATGCCATTTGACAAATCACGTAAATGAGGCAAATGAGGCACCAACAACAATCAGTTACCGAATGCTTGTCAAAAAACCTATGAACCACCATGTTAGATTGAGTGTTCGATTTTTAGAATTGAGAACCCAACCGGTTCCTTTACGAACCAACCAGCTCGTGATTCCAAGCCAGTTCCAAGGACTAGGAACCAACCCTAAATGTAAGTAATATAACTATTGTTTTAGAAAATTATATCATGTGAACAATTTGCGGCATAATAGTTAAGGTATTGATGAATTTTCCAACTTTCCCAAATTTCAGAACCCATCATATCTCATGGTTCACAATACAGAACCGACCATTCTAGTGTGAACCAATTTGAAACCGATTGGATAAGACCTATTCGGTTCGATTCTCAGATGAAACCGGCTCAGTTGCTTACCCTTCTAAGGCACGGCATAATCTTTTCAAGTATTGCCTTATTGCTTACTTGTTATAACAGAACCCCGCTTTCTAAATTTTGAGCTAAATTTCACATCACTCAACGTCTTAATCTTATTATTTGTAGGATATTGATTGAATAAAAGTGAGGTAAAAAGAGGAGGGGACCGGCATCAGTTTTCACATGATAAGACTTTGAACGAGACATGTTAGATTTGTCACTATATTTGCGAGGATGTTTTGGACGTTTAAAGTAAAAGACCAAATCTGAACTTTTTCCTTATTAAATGACCGATATGTGGACATCGACATAGATGAAAATAAACGCGATGAGGAATCCAAACTACTAGTCTAAATATATGATTACTCGTGCTTAGTGTTTAGAACTTACAAGAATCTAGCCATGCCACGAAATTTGGTGGATTATGTAGTATTACGTTGAAAAGGATACTAATTATCTCTGAAAAGTGAAAATTTGAGGTAGGCTTTTGTCTTTGGACTCTAATTGAATTCTCAAGATTCGCACTCCTCAATTCTTAGTTCGGCCCTAAGTTCACGAGCTCGATTCACGTCGCAAACACGTTGCAAAGCTGCAGCGATGAGCTTGTCAACTTCATATCTTCTCACCCGTTCTTTAAAAAAAAGGGGTTAATACCACAAATAAATCCAAATCGGTACACTTGTAACAAATTTACTTCTAACTAAATATTTTACTACCGAAAACTTCAAACTGATACACATGTGATAAATTTATCTCAAGCTAATTTTTTGACTACGTAAAACACCAAACTGGTACAATTGCGACAGATTTATCCTCTGTTAATTTCCGTTAAATTGGATTAATATTACAAAAAATCGCGAACTGGTACACTTGTGAATCTCAAACTAGTACACCCGTCAACTGCCACGTATCATCTAACTTAGTAATTCGACGGTAAAATTTAACAGAAACTAACAGATGGTAAATTTTTTACGAATATACTGACTTGAGATTTTTTGTGATTAAAAATTAATTCGCGATAAATTTATCGAAAATGTACCAATTTGAATTTTTTTCATGATATTAACACAAAAAGAAAATAGATTGGAAGCAAAAATCCAAATGAAGAGCCTAAAATGTGGAACAACTGGTAATTATAAGCGGACAGAAGAAGCTGACGATGAAACTGTCGCGGGGGGACAAGAGGAAGAAAGACCCAAACGCCGAAGCAGACCGGGGGCTCATCAACGCAACAATCATCATGGCTGCACGCTTTTCCTGCGCGAAACTGTTGTTGGCCCGCTCATGGACCTGAAAGTCCAAAGCCAAACGTCGCTGTCCCCCCTCCTTCATAAAATACTCACCGTCCTCTTCTTTTCATACCATTTTTCCTCTTTCTTTCCCTTTCTTTTGGCACCATAATTTCCTGCTCCTGTTTCTTGTGCTTTTGACGCATTTCCGGTTCGAGCACGTTCGTCCCATCACTCCGAACGCATTGATTTGTTGTCCGGGACCCTTTTCTTGTGTCAGGTCAATTCCCCTGTAAAGTCGATCTTTCCTCCTCTTTTTCCGGGGAAAGAATGTCCGGATTCGGTGTCGGGGAATGTTCAGCTGTTCCTGGGTTTTGACTTTTGGGTGGGGGAAACGTTCCGAGGGGATCGTCGTCTGCGAATTTCAAGTCGTGGGTATGGAGAAGAAGGAAGCAAATTGGATGAGGATGTGATCAATTCGCGAACTTGGGGGGGCGTCTGGATCAAGAATGGTGCTCTGAGAGAGAGAGAGAGAGAGAGGGAGAGAGAGAGAGCGATTTGGAGGTTCTTATCTGGTTGCTTCTGGGGTGCGTCTTCGTAATCCACGAATTCCGCAAGTGATTGTCAAGAGTGTCACATCAAAGCTCAATTTTGCTTTGTGTGTTTTCAACCTCTTGTTTTGTGTAAAGTAGTAGGTTGACCTTCACTTGCCCAGAATTAAGGTTGTCCCCAATCGGAACCAACTCTTTTGCCTCTCTCTCTCTCTCTCGTTGGAATCACCAAGAAGTGAGATTCTTTCGTTGCAACCAATTCTCGCGTGTGATTGTGATTTCTGTGAGAGACTGTCGTTGGTTGTTGTTAGTTTGGTGAAGTTGAAGGAACTTTTCTTTTCCCATTTTCTTTAACCCGGAGAGGCACGGTTTTCTCATTTCTCCGAGTACCCTTACTTTTTTATCAGCTTATTGTACAGACCATTTGTGATAATCAGACCTCCTTCGGTAGTGCCCTTCTCTAAGTGAAAGTCTTGGTAAAATCAAGAAGAAGTTCTCCCTCTGCAAAGACTCGTTATCTTTGGGGGGATTGCTTAATCTGAAAGGATCATGAGGCTATTGAACCTCGTGGGCAATTCCTTCGGATGCTCGGCATCGGGGGAACGCCTAGTTTCGGCAGCAAGAGATGGCGATCTCCAAGAAGCGAAGGCTCTATTGGAGTATAATCCTCGTCTTGTGAGATATTCAACTTTCGGGGTTCGTAATTCGCCTCTCCATTATTCTGCCGCCCAAGGCCACCATGAGGTACTATCCTGTTTAATTACTGGGTCAATCCTTGGTGTCATCATTAATGTCATCTTTACTTTATATATAGATTTGACCGTTGATGGTGGTAGGGGTGTCTATTTCCTGTATTCAGATAGTTTCGTTGCTGCTCGAGTCTGGAGTGGATATCAATCTCAGGAATTACCGCGGTCAGGTGCTGAATTACTTGCTGCTCGTAGCACGTGATTTTTAATGTGCCTATTAGATGTATTTTGTTTTGAGGAATTGTTTTCACTCTCGTGTAACAGACTGCTTTGATGCAAGCGTGTCAGTATGGTCACTGGGAAGTTGTTCAGACTCTTATTCTTTTTAAAGCTAATGTAAGATTCTTGTGCTACTGCTTCTGAGTTTAATAAAGTCGTCAGTAATTTTGCATACATGAATGGTGATGTTATGTGTAATTGTTGGAGTATAGATTCACAGATCAGACTATCTAAATGGGGGTACCGCCCTTCACTTGGCTGCTTTGAATGGCCATACCCGGTGTATCCGACTCCTCCTAGCTGATTATATCCCTAGCAAACCTGATGTGTGGAATATCCTAAGAAGAAGATCCAACAGTGAGGAGCCTATTGCAGAATTTGATGAACGGTATATTCAACTTTCTCTGGGTCTCTGTAATCTTCTTGTGCTCTTTCTTCTACTTGGTGTTTACTATCTCGTGTATACAATGTCTCTTTGCATGGATCAGTGCTCTTTCTCAGGTAATTAATAGACCTTCTGATGGAGGCATTACCGCACTTCACATGGCTGCACTAAATGGGCATGTCGAGAGCGTGCAGTTACTCTTGAACCTGGGAGCATCTGTTTCTGTGGTCACTGTGGAAGATGGGACTACAATTGATCTGATAGGTTTGCTGGATGCACTCTTTTCATTGTTTGATCACTAGTAAATTTACTGTCTTATTTGTCTGGGAAATAGGCAGCTTCTACTGAAGCACTCATCATTGTTGTCATTAACTTTCCAAATATTGCTACCCCTGGTTTTCTCATGTTTTCTTTAAGCTGGATTTCTTTTGTTGTCTCTGTTTTTTCTCTCTTTTGACTATTCTCCTTTTGGCTCTACTATAGCTCATAGCATCTGAATATATTTTACTCATATTCCTGTGAAGGAAAATAGTCAATAGACATTAAGAAGCAAATGTGATTTGGTATCTTAAGCTATATTGGTATATTGTACTGAGATACATAGCATAGCAGGATCATAGCTGATGCGATTGGTTCCATCTTCTTCCACTCCTTGCTTTTAGTCGTGGGGCTTGGGTTTTTGAGGATGGGAATGAATGGGTGATCAAGAGTCCAAAACCCCTCTTTTGTCTTCTGGTCTTGGGGGTTGCACCAGGTGTTATTTGCTTTTTATACAAAATACCCTGGGTTGAATTCTGCTGTTATGTGAAAAGTCTGAAGTTTTTCCGATAAATAGCTACTTTGTTTTTTTCCTTCTATGACTTCATTTCCTGAGAAGAGATTGTAATGTCCATGGAGGTGTGTTTTCTGGGAGAATTATGGCTTCATTCAAAATGTTTGATTGTTTGAATGCAGTGATACCTGCTTAGAATCATGCGTTTGTGGTAAGTCATTTGTATTGATCTTTGCACGTTGCAGGTGCTGGAAGCACTCCACTTCATTATGCTGCTTGTGGTGGAAGTGCGCAGTGTTGTCAGGTATTTTGTGGCAGCTAAAAGATTAAAAAGCATCTAATATCATTATTTATTTTGTTCATTTGACTTACACAAATGTTTTTTTTATACTTCAGATACTGATTGCCAATGGTGCGAGTCTGTCTGTCAAAAATGTCAATGGGTATGTGTCACATGATCTGTTTCTCCTAATCAATGTTGGGATTGAAAAAAGAGAAGTTGCGCTTGAAATTTCAAAGCACAACAAATGGTTCTTTGCTAAATGATCTTGATGGTAATTTCTGAGAGTTAAATAAAATATGTGTTGCACCTTCTGTTTTTGGAACTTGTGGTAACTCTTTTCCCGTTATGGTAATCTGAAGTAAAGCTTTTTCTCTCCATTTCACAAGGTTAGTGTGGTGGAGCTTTCTTCTGTCCGTTAAGTTAGTGAATTGACTTGTGACTCCTGGATGCACATTCTATGGTTAATTTGGGGCTGTGCATCTAAATTTCCTTGTCCCATAGTGTAAATTGTTGTGCTTATTTAAGTGTTTTGAGAATCTCTATTTCTCTGTTGAGCCATGAAGGATCTTGGTGTACATTCAAGTGATATATGCCCAACATCATCACTGCGTTTCCATTGGAAAATCTCCTGAAAAGACAGTTGAATTATTAACGTGAGTGGAAGTTTACTGTTATGTCAACAGAGAGAGCATGATGGGGGTTAAACTTAACCTCTCAAGTTAAATGTGATCTATTACAGTTCTCTGGAAAAGAACTGACTGCCAAACGACAACGTCTTCAGGCAGTACTTTAGGTTAAAAAGTTGCATGCTGAGTCAAGAGAACAAGCAACTCTGTCTGAACCTTATTTATTAGTTTATAATGGAGCACTTCTACAGTTATTTGTTTTTTTTTGTCCCTAAAATGAGATTCAGTATTTATTAAGGAGGAAGTAAAAGCAAGTTTACTTGGACAAGTCTGGAGCGGTAGTAACATTTTTGTAGCTAACACCGCTTGCATTGGTGGAGACCACTGAGCACTACAATTTGGATCGTGATTTTTAGTTTCTGTGTTCTCTAGTTGCTTTTTATTTCCTTCTAGCTCGAAGCACCTCCTTTATTTTAGTTTCTATATTATATAAAATGAAGAAATTGTATTGTTGTCCTTATCTCCTATACATCTATGCAGGTGGAACCCTTTAATGGTTGCTCGTTCATGGCACAGAAATTGGCTTGAGGAAATTCTCAGCACACAACCAGAGGGTCGGATTCGAATTCTTCCCTCTCCATATATATCTCTTCCTCTTATGAGCATTGTTAGAATTGCCAGGTGAGCAGTGTTCAGTTTATTTAGCATCCTTCCAGACGGTTCTTAACACTAGTGATCCTCGACCAATAATTTCTTGTTGACTTCTTTGTGTTTCTCATGGTTTTTTCTCCCTGTTTCTCCGTTTATTTGGTTTGTTAAATTCAAGGATCTTGTTACGCTTCAAGAAAAATAGTGTCTTGTCGCATCCATAAGTGGTGGGGCTGTCAATTCGTGTCTTGTCGTCTTATTCATTTTGGATTTCCGTGTCATTTCGTGTTGTGACAGAAATGTTTTGATGTGAGACAAAAGAATGGGTCAAAACATATAAATCGTGTCAATTTCGAGTTGATCTTGTTTCTATCATTCTTAATTCCGGTTTGTCTCAGTAAGCTCATGTCGTGTTTAAGTCATGTTTTCTTGTCGTGTCAAGAATCGATAGCTCTAATTTGTTGCGGCTATTGGTTTAGGCTTTAGTTGTAGCTTTACTTCATTATTGACTGTGACTTAGTATTAATAGTTTTACAAGTTCACTTCCTTAATGGCATTATACACTATGTTAAAGCAATGCTTTCTGCGTCCTTGACGGTGTTTCACCCACTAGGAAACACTGTATGGAACATATCTAATATTTGGTTGGAAAAACACTGTTAAAGTGTCATTCAGACTGACATTGATATATGAGAATAGAGGTTAGACTTACGTTGAGGCTTAGCTATTGCCTTCCCTTTTTCAAGTCTTAAGAAAAGATTCGGTACCTACTAAATGTGGGAAATCAAATGTCCCTCTGCATTTGGGGCTTGTACTGCCTCTGGTTCCTTTTGCTGATGCTCATACCTAGAAACATATTTCCTGCCTTTTATACTTTTCTTGCATAACTATTTAGAGTACCGTACAAATGAGGTGGTAATTGCAAATTTTCTTTTGAAAACCCGTTACACAATGCCACAAAATGATCCATACGTGGTGTGATGTCATTGGCATTGAGCTGTGTTGATGACCGGAAATATAATGTTTAGTGATTAAAATTGCTACTTAAGACAGTATTGATTGATATGTTGACAAGAAATTGTAGTGAGTGGTCCCTGGCAACAATATCATCATTCTCTCTGAGTCAAGATGAAAATTTCACTCAAAACAGAAGAAAAAAAAATGTGGTGCCTAATTGGCACGTGGTGATGCCATAACATACAATTGACTCAAGAACCAGGTATCAGAGACATAAGAAAGGCATAACAGACTCATTTTTGAGACGTCAACTTCTCTTTTATTAGGTCTTTTTTTTTTTTGTCGAACTCTTTTATTAGGCTTACTTGGGTGTATGTCTGCATGTTCACGTTTTTCATTGTGGCTAGCATAATTTTCTGTATGAGTTTGCCTGTATGTGGGGGTCCGGGCAGTGGGGTGATTTGAGTTGTGGTAGAAGACAGGTCCACTATTGACAATAAATTTACAGTTACTGTTGTGACTGAATTCAAACCTTTTCTTTTTTTGATTCGTTTGCAGAGAATGTGGATGGAGAGGCAATGATCTATCGCCGACATGCCAAGATCCATGCGTTGTTTGTTTAGAAAGGAAATGCACTGTGGCGGCAAAAGGTACACTCAGAAGCTAAGTTCTCCCATGGAAAACACTTTTTTATTTCACTTTTTGAGCGATGGATGGAATCAACAGAATGGGAAATTTCAAGCCCATGGGCAATATGACTTGCACTTGACTTGTACTTTTAAAACATTACTGGCAAGTATGGACTAAATCCTGCATGACGTAGCTGATGTTAGAGCCTTCAAACGGGTGGGTTGGGTCGAAAATGGTCCAATCCAAATATTCCTATTTAACCCGTTTTGACTCATTTTCATACAATGCAAATCAAGTGACCCATACCCTACTCGACCCATATTGCTAAAATACTTCCATATTTAACCCATATAGGAAAACTCATACCCAAACTGAGACGAGAATGGGGAGTAAGTGAGCGTGAGATCAAATGGGGGCAAAAGACAATGAAGAGAGTCATAGAGGTAGGTTGGGTCTAAATATGTCGTAGACCCATTTAATACCCATATTATGTTTACATCCAGTTATGACCCATTTACTAAATATAACTTACCCATATAACAACTTAACTCATCGTATATGGGTTAAAAATGAGTTTATGACCCATTTTGACAGGTGTAGCAGATTTCAAGATATAAATTCTTACTAAAAACCTATCTACTTTGTAGTAAACATTCCCTTAAATGATGGTTTTAGGCCTTGTCAAGACTTATCTGGATTCCAAGGCTACATAATTATCTAGACACCCACTACAACAACTCATCTGTGCTGATTTATATTTGAACTTCCTTTTAAAGTTCATTAAATTGCCTTAGTGCCTGAACACACTTTATTTGCTTATGCATGGAAATGATTCTGTGGCAGGTTGTGATCATGAGTTCTGCACAAGATGTGCCCTATACCTCTGTTCCACTTCTAGTTCCTCGATGGGTCATGGTCCTCCCGGCTGTATTGCATGCCCTCTTTGTCGGCATGGTATAGTCTCATTTGCAAAGCTTCCTGGGACAAGACCGATGGTTAATAAGGAGATTGCCCGAACAAGTCTGTCCCTTACGTTCTGCACATGTTCTGGGGAAGCTTCGGAGACTGCTTCTTTGACAACCCCGTTGTGTAAGCCCGCATTTCAATGCACGCGAATTTCGCCGTTAGGATCGTCCTTCCGGAGCTTGAGCTGCCAGAAGTTTCCGTCTATGAAAATTAATGCCAGCCTCTGCATGGGGACACCCGACACAAGACCCTCTCTGGTTCCTTGCAGTGTCAAACGAAACTTGAGGACCCAGCTGGTTCGATGCTCGAGATCTGGCTTAAGACGATCAGTGTCTCACTCTGAGAGTAGAGGATCATGGTTCTCGGCGCTCAATCAGTATGTAGCGACAGGAAGCGGGTGCTGAAAGGTGCATTATTCTTGTTCTCTCTCCATGTACATTTTGGAGTGCATCACTTTTCCCTTCCATTCTTTTGTCATAATTTCACTGTGTCCGTATAGAATCTCTCGAAATTTGTCTATTTTCGGCTTGATATTGTTTTAACCAGCATCCTGGGTATCCCAACTTTCGAACCCGGGTCTCGTCCTTGGGGCCCCGCTCCCCCGGTTCACTGGGCTATCTCCCCAGTTGACCTATTGAGCTTGTATATACTGAAGCCAATACTCCAAATTATTAAGTGATTCATATGATATCATGCATATAGTATGCCCTTTTCTTCCCCCGAAGATTTTGGCTAATTACTACGATGTCAATTTGGCGACTTGGTTCACCTAAGACGCCTTCCAGCTTTCATATGTTAAGTTGCAAGCATCTGTTGTCGTCGTATCATATGAGACACGATTAGCGGGTTTGGGGAAGCAGGACGGGGGTCGGAGTCGATTGTTAAAATCCCTCTCGGGTTTGGGACGAGTTTGAGATTTTATAATTGGGAAACCCGATACCTGAACCCTATATGTGTAACTGTCAAAAACAATATTTGTTTCCCTCACATTCCTTAGGTGGTTGAGTGAATATAAGCAATTGCTAACTCTATTAGGATTTGTAACGGTTTTTGAGATTTTTTTTAAGTTGCCCTTGCTTTGTTAAAACTTCTCGAATTATAATATAAAAATTTGTGAACACGAAGGACAAAATCAAGTGTGATCTAACGTCTTTCAGCAACGGCCGCTACTACTCATAGCTTGATTCTTTTAGATCATAGATCTTTGTGATCATTGATATTAAATTTTTTCAATCTTATATTTTGAGACTCCAAAGATATCTAATTGGGGGTTCACATGTGTTTTGAATAAATAGTCGTGTATGCAAGTTTAAGGTTGTTTATCAGGAAAATTACTAAAACAGTTTTATATCTATTATAATTGTGTTAATTCAGTTTTAAATTTTTTTATGTCAATTTAGTTCTAAACCTTTTGTATTTGTGTCAATTTAGTCCGTCCGATCAATTTTGGCCGGCCGGCACTGATGTGGACGCCGACCAGTGCCGACTGTCCAGCCGATGCTGACGTGGTAATTTTTGAATATTTTTTTTTAAAATTTTTTTCTCTCTTTCTTTTGTTTTCCCTATCTTCTTCCTTGGCCGATTGCCGGACCAGCTAGGCCATAAGCTAAGGCCAGCGAGGTTGAACTCACTGTCCACTGGCGAGGCTAGCCCTCATCGGGCTCGCCCAGTCGTGGTGAGGGTCACCCTTGCCAGCCTCAACCTCTAGCGGTCTGGTCGGGGAAGAAGATAGGGAAAAAAAAAAAGAAAGAGAAAAAATAAAAAAATTCAAAAAAATATATAAAAAAATTGTCACGTCAGCATCGGCCACGGATCGGCATCCACGTCAGCGCCGGCTGGCCAAAATTGGATAGATGGACTGAATTGACACAAATACAAAAAGGTTTAGAACTCAATTGACACGAAAAAAAAATGCTTATGACAGAATTGACACGATTGCAATAGGTTTACGACTATTTTGGTAATTTTCCCGTTGTTTACCGTACATTTTACATAAGATTATGGTTCATCATGAACTATTACTGCAAGTTGGGAGGAAGAGAACTCCACAAGCATATTCAGTAATAGATAGATGCCGCCCCAAACCCGCGCCGCTTCCGTCCCCAAGCAGTAAATACAATCGTCCTTGTTTTGACCGATCTCGCTACGAAGTGATCACTCTACGAAAAAGTCGACAACTTAGTCTGGATGCGGCGATTAGGAGGGAATAGAAATTGCTCCGATAATGCCTTAAAGAGAGAAGAACAACAGAAAGCAAAGGGCACGAGCTTGCTGCTGATAACGCCCTCGTGGGGTAGAGCTATGCTTAAGCGCGAGGGGCCATGCCAGAAGCCCTGTTCAAGTACGACGAGATGAGGAGGAATCGATGGCTACTTGCAAGTTACACGGTCGCTGCCGAGCAACCCTTCAGCTTTGCGAGAGACGCGAGCTTCATCGAGTACGTGCAGGGCGCGCTGCAAGCACCGAAAACGCAACGCGATGTAACCAAGAGAACGAGAGCAAGGCTGGCGCATCTGCTTGCCGTCAGTAATTTTCGAGTCCCATTGATTTCCGATTTCTGGACCAGCCAGGCCCCCCCCCCCCCCCCCGCTAGATAGGACTAATTATTTTAAACGATCATTTTTTAGGAAAATATTTTTTAGATAATTTATTTTTCGCGAAATAAATGCATAATTGCTTTCCTATTATAAAAAAGAATCATTTTTGTAAAAAAAAAAAAAATTTCGTGTATCTTTCTTTGACTCATCCCATCTCGTAAGAGATGCCGATTGTCATTGAAAGTTTTTGGGCATAGATTGTTGTCGATCATAAAAAAAAAATTTATGGAAAGATGACACAAATAGTTCCTGAATTTTAGCTCAATATACAATTTGGTCTCTGAACTTTTAATTTGTTCAATGTAGTCCATGTACTTTAACCCAATGTGCAATGTAATCCTTGCACTTTTAATTGGTTCATTGTCATTCATGAACTTTTGGTACATGTTCAATTCAGTCCCTAGACTATATAAAAATGTTCAATGTAGTCCCTGAACTTGAATTAATAAAATGACTACATTGAAAATTTCATATAGTTCAATGACTGAATTGAACATGTACCAAAAGTTCAGATACCAAATTACACATTAAGCCAAAATTTAGAGACTTTGTGTCATTGTCCCCCTTTTTTTATTAAATAATCATTTTAAGCGATCTACCGAAATTAAAAAAAAAAAGAAAAATACTCTTTTTTTAAATTTTTGTTTTTGTGCACCTCTACTCTTTCTTTGACTCATCCAAATGGGGGGGGGGGATCCGCCGTCCGGACAGTTTCAGAAGACGCAGAATCCAAACATCGGGCACCTCTCTTCAGATTCTCCGACAATGGCCACAACGTGCGCGGCGCTGACTTCCATGTCCACCACCCTCGTCTCTCTCTCTCCTCTCCTCCTTCTTTCTTCCTCCTCCTCTTCCGCTTCCTCCTCCTCTCGTCCACGCTCGTACCCATCCCGCCCGCGTCGGCAGCTCTTCTGGGTCGTCGACCCCCGTCGAGCTCCCCGCGGTCCCGCATGCCCCGCGCAAGTCTTGAAGGAAGGAGGGACCCGCGACGGCGGCAGCGCCGTCGACGGGTCGGTCCTCGATCTCGCGGAAGCGTCCTCCGATGACGAGCTCTGGGCGGCGTCCCGCCTCCGCGTCCGCACCTTCAATCACTTCGAGCCCTCCACTTATGCCGTCGAGGTGAGCAAGTGCACGCTATGTTGGTTTCTAAGTATGTTGGGTGCGTTGTTGAATGGATATACTAGCGGATGGTCTGCTGGGAATTAGGAAATGTGGGTTTACTTCTGTTTCTTGAAATTGCTGATCGCGTTGCTTCGTCGCTGCCAGTGGAAGAGCTGGTGGAATGCGCTTTGTGGGAACAAGTGCTCAAATTTCCATGCTTTATGAACTGGCATGTTCTGATGTTACATATGCTGGAGCTTAATTCGCATTTTGCCCTTTATTGTTCGTTTATGTTTGATAAACCTTTTGTGTTCTTGTTTCAATTACCAAATTCTGATGAAGAAACATGGTAATTGTGAGGGATGCCTTATGCGGCTTATGTTCAAGGGGTCGGAACTGGCATGTTGGGCAATGTAAGCATCGCCCAACAATCATAGAAGGAGTCCTAACCGGAGATCTTGGTTATGATAGCGCTTTCTTCTTGTCAACCACATGCGTATGTATTACACGAAAACTTATCTCATGATATTGGGGAAAAAGAGTATGAGTTGAGTTACCTTGGAATTGTGAGAGTAAAGCCTCTCTTGGTTCTGGAACTGCTCATTGAAGAAGCGGAGTAACTTAATTTCTACTGCATGTCAGTTTGCGTGACTGTGCCAGAAGTCATCTCCGGTCCAGCTACATAGTTACTCTTTTAGTCTTCATGAAAGGATGCTCTGCTCTTTCCATTGTGCATAAATCACTGTTCGCTGCCACATGTGACCAGTCTAGAGCTGTTAACTCTTATTTTATTCAATTCATACAGAGATCAGAGGCAATGGAGTACTCTATTCAATTTTCATTCTCAAATATGTAAGACATTTTCAGCAGTTTGTGTTGGGGGAAACATCAGTGATTGTTCATTTTTTCAGGCTAAACACTTCGTTTGTCGGTTTGTAGTGAAAGTTCAAGGTTATTGCAATAGTTCCGGTAGAGATATGTTGCAAGACACTTGATGCTTTTACAGTTCACACTGGCTTCCTTGCTTTCTGACCCTTTTTATAGGACGGACAAATTGTCATGTGATGGGTTGTGTCCTTGAGAGATTATACTTGGTTGTGGATTGGTTGTTATCTAAAACATCAGATAAGGATAGGTTGGCAATTGGGAAGACTTGTTGTAGCCATCTGTGAATTGAGGTTTAGATTGTGGTAGAAAGAGCATCATGTGTAATCAAACTCCTGTAAGATAAGACAATGCTAATTTTCTATTGTTTACATGAATGCACGTTTCTGTTTTGCGTGACATTTGAGCTTTTCACTGGCATTGTTGTAGGTTTTACCTTCAGTTTTGCTGAACTTGCATCTTGAACGTTATAATGTATAATCTAATGGTTCCTTACCTCCCTTTGTCTGTACTTTTTTTCTTGCTCTTCTGTTTTCTGAAGTCTGTTTTTCTTGTCAAGTTCTGTTAGGATCATAAAAGATGCTTAGCTGAGCGTGAATTCGAAGCATTGAAGGAGCGTATTGCTGGGAAGAGGGAGGGCTTTAGGAGAGTTTCTTGCATTAATGCTACCCTCCCAATGTCCCAAATTATAACTGGTACAGACGATTTATTCTCAACATGTAAGGTTTGTGTCTCTCTCCTTTGCTTAATTGTGTATGGTATGGTTCTTAATAACGTGTTGATTTAGTTCTTCTCAATGGCTTTTAGGCTCTCGTGTTGTTCTTTTGATGATGTCTGAACTCACGATCGGTTTCTATGTCTCAATTAATAGAAATGCACTCTTTTGAAAGAGTTCACTCTTTCTTGATTCTTTGTTTTTCGCCCCTTTGGCACGGCACTGTCTCCCAGTGGAATGTTCTTTTTCTGTATATCTTGGGCATCCGCAATGCCATTTCTGCCCATTGAAATCACATCGGTCATTCCCCTAAAAAAGGAGTATCTATATTGCATCTGGTTGTAGGTAATTTAGTGAAAACGAAAAGCGAAGAACTTAATTAGAACGAACCGTGCCCTCATTTGTTGATTAATTGGGTTCTATCTCGATTGACGCACCACCTTACAAATGCAATCATGCATTCGGTGTGTGTGTGTTGGGGAGGGGGGGGGGGGGGGGGGGAAGTTGATCAGTACGGGAAGGTTGAGAGTAAGAAGACTTAGGACCAGAGGAAGAGGATGAATGTAAGGAAAGTGATCAATAGTGAAGCTACCCCAAAATCCTTGGATACTCTACTTAAGACAATAGCTTTAAATAGTATGTCAAAATGTACAGGAGATGATGAGATCTCTTAATCTTGAGATAAACATAGCCCTTCCATCGTGAAAACAACTCTCAAGGGACTCTTAAGGTGTGTTTGAATAAGTGTTGAAAATCAAAGTTTTCAGAACTTAGTGACATCATGCATGTGATAAGACCCAAACTTTTGCCACTCACATTAGCAAGTTTAGTTACGAAACGTTGACGGCACATTTGGTTACACTAGTGACTATTACTTTACAAGCCAGGTGTGTTACACATTATATTGTTTGTTTGCAATAGAAAATCAATTACGACTTTATTAACAAAACATTAGTTACAGCTGTTTCACAACCCCTATGTAATAATACCTATGACAGCCAACGCTATAATATTTATTGTCAAAGTTTCCTCTCTTTTCTATCTGACTTTGTCGTAATTGGATGATAGACCTTAGATACATGAGCAACTTAATTTAAATACTAATTATGTTCCCCATGTGAAAAAAATATTACTTACTGTTGATGAAAGAGCAAAAGAATTAAAACTACAAATGCAGAGTTACAAACTAAACACAAATTGAAACTTGAAAGTGACAAATATGTTTCAGCCAAAATCAAGTTCACGAAGTTCATCGCCCATAACAAGTGCTTGACTATGTGTGCAACTAATGGATTCATGGAATGCTTGGTATGTGGTAAAATAACAAAACCAAAAAAGGGTGGTAAAAATGCTTTAGTGGATTCGTGCATCTGGATTCGTGCATGCTCGACTAGAAACATGAGTGGACATGAAATGACGCAAGGTTTCAAGATCTTCGCCTCTACAGTTTCAATTCGCAAAAAGAAATATAAAGCATGCTTTTCTGATGATCCAAGAGAGTTGGAAAAAAATGCAAACAAAAGATTATAATCAGAAAATTCTATTAAAGCACTGGCAATCAGTCTGTGAAAACAAAACAATCAAACTGCCGACAGCAAGTTTTAGGGACTAAAGAATTCTTTTCTGATGATCTAAGAGAGTTGGAAAAAAATGCAACCACTTGCAAAAATCCTAGTCCAGACCTTGAAAACCCGATTCCTCCTTTCCAGCAAACTGATTATGATACTGATTCGGTTGACGTTGTGTGCCTTTGAGAGTTTTTAGGTTCTTTGAAGTGTTTAAGGAATTAATAAGCAGCACCTTCAACTGACAGAGCAGAGAAAGCCGAGGAAGAAGCTCAGGTTGTTTTTAGATAAATGGTAGTTCAACTGTTTTGTTTCTTTTGAGGCAAGGGCATTTCTGTCATATTACTGAAATAGCTCTATCTGCAGCCAAAATCGCTGTTGAATGGGGCCAACTATATTAAGACTTTTAAACCTATTTTTATTGACCAAGTATTAGGGTTCAACTCTTAGTTAATGCCATGTCTAGCTTACACTTTTGTCGACGAAGTGCTAGTGAAGAAGGCTACGTATCTTTCCTCTTTAATGCCCATTATGCTTACACTTTTGTTGCTTTGAAAGCATAATAAAAGAAAGCGAATTTGTACTTTCGGCTATTCATGAGGTAGATATATTTAGAATTGGAGGGAATAATTTTACTCGCGTGGCTTCAATTGATGAATTTTGAACATTTGAGGGATATTTAGCTTTTCTCTTTAGTGCTATTATTGGCTTCTGATTTTGTTCAATCCTGCTTTTCACTAAACACGACATATACATTATACATGCCTGTTATGGCCTACCCACGAGAAGTGCGACAGTTTTCTCCAATTTTCTGTTACCTTTTGTAGTTCTCAAAAAGTGGAAAAGATCGAGTAGTTGTTGCTACCCTTGATCTTAATCGGTGCCTTTGGCTTCCAGATGAAATTGTTGGAGCAAGACCAGAGGTATGTGATATCTCTATACCTTTCCTGGTGACTTGTGTACTTATCACTCATCTTTAAATGGCAGGCAAAGTTGTGTTATGAGTTCTTAATCAATTTAGGGCGCGATTGGTAACCATTCTGCTCCGGAAATCAAATTTCCAGAAATCAAATTCTTGCCAGAAATTGATTTCCGGAATTCTTGCCAGAAATTGATTTTTGGAGGAGAAATCTGTTTGATAAAACATGATTAATTCTACTCCAGAAATTGATTTCTGGAACAGAAATCTATTTTGATTTGTTGATTTTTTTTTGCACCTAAAAAAATTTAAATTTCACTCAAAGTGGGTGGTCACATGTATTCTAAGCCATTCTGTGAAGTTTTAAATTTTTTTATTTTTTTGGGCACCTCAAAAAAAATAAATTTCACTCAAAGTGGGTGCCCAAAGGTATTCTAAGCCATTTTGTGAAGTTTTGAAATTTTTGATTTTTTGATTTTTTGGACACCTCAAAAAAATTAAATTTCACTCAAAGTGGGTGCTCAAAGGTATTCTAAGCCATTTTGTGAAGTTTTGAAATTTTTGATTTTTTGATTTTTTTGGGCACCTCAAAAAAATTAAATTTCACTTAAAGTGGGTGCCCAAAGGTATTCTAAGCCATTTTGTGAAGTTTTGAAATTTTTGATTTTTATATATTTTTTGAAAAAAATTCACCAAATTTCCTATTTTCCCGAAATCTGACTTTTTTTTATTTTCTGGAAATTTTTATGAATTTTTCTGGAATTTTTCAATTTTTATGCATTTTCTGAAAAAAAAAATTAGTGAAATCTCAAAGTGTGTTGTAAAGGCCACGAAAAAGAGAGAAAATAGGGAGAATGCATTCTGGAAGAGAGAAGCTACAAAAAGTAGCTTCTCTTTTTCTTGCCCAAAACTCATTATGGAATCAAGAATGCATTCTGGAATCAAGTATTTTTAACAAATACATTTTTATTCCAAAATGCAAAAATTGCTCCAGAATGCGTTTCGGAAATTTTTTAACAAATGCATTTTTGTTCCGGAATACATTTTGGAGCAAAATTTCTACTCCAGAATGGATTCCATGCGCGCCCTTATTTGCTTTCTGCATTGTTGGCATAGTGGAAGAATAAAAAGATATGAAGTTGCTCAGCTGATTTATGAGACCAATGGAAAGAGAAGTAGAAAATTTATTTCCTGATACTGAAGGCTGCAAGTTGGTCCTTTTGTCACTCGAACCTGAGTTGGTTCCAGGTTAAATCTTATGGATTGGCCATTGTATGTATATATAGTTGCAACAATTCTTTGGGTGCTTGTATGACTTGTCTAGCCTGGGACTCAATCGATTTAGCTCTCTCTGTTGTATGACGTGCAACTTAATGAACATTCTGTCGTGGAGTCGTTTTCTCCCCTTTTGCTTGAATGAAATAGTTACATGAATACTTTTCTGTAGCAGGGCATTGGAGCAGATTTTGCCAGAGCATACCTGAGCAATGTATGTGTTGCTGAGGAACTACAGAGAAATGGACTGGGTTATGCGCTTATTGCAAAGTCAAAGATTGTTGCCCAAGAATGGGGTAACAAATTCAGAAACTTTACATACTAAATGGATAAATGCTGTTATTGTGTAAGCGCTATTTAGAACATGCCGAACATTGAAATATATCTCTGTGTTTTCAGGCATAACTGATTTGTATGTCCATGTCGCTGTTGACAATGAAGCTGCAAGGAATTTGTACATGAAAAGTGGGTTTGAGTACGAAAGCGAGGAACCTGCATGGCAAGCCAGATTTCTTGATCGTCCTCGAAGGATTCTTTTGTGGACCAGCATCACTGCCTCCCATGATTTGTGATGTTACAACGTTCCCCAATGTTTTTCGTGTTGTGATCTTGTATTTGTAGGGTTGACTCGATAGACTAGATAACGGAGTTTTTCGTTTTGTGTAAATGTCAAAACCTCAGCTTCTTGTTCATAATTTATTGCCCACATGACATTAGTGCATTATTTTTTTTTATGCACGATTCTTTGCAAATTGAACACAATGGTCTATTGAAATTGAAGACTCAAATTTGCTCATGTTCTGTCCCAAAGCTAAGCTTGTCGCATCTGTGGCAAGGTGAGTCCCATTTACATGTGGTAGAGAACTATGTACATGTCTTCTATTTTGGGTCATTTATACTTTTAATCCATGCACCCTGTGTTGCTTTCAATTCAGTCCATGCAATCAGCTTCTGCAACAGTTGTCCCCTGCACTTCAATTTCTTCACAATATGCAGCCTTCCGGTTAACTCTGCCGCCGGATTTACGATAATTGCGCAATTTGCACAAGAACTTACTGATTGTTGTTGACATGGACGTTCCTGCTTTTGAAGGTGTTTGGTTTGTTTTGGGGAGTCAATCGCTGGGTGTAAACCATGTATTTGAGGAGAGTTAAGGTAAACATCAGCATGACTGTCTCTCATTCAAGACATAGTAGGAATATGGGGTAAGTTGTAATGATTGCGCATGCTTTGCTTCGACAGTTTTGCGTTGTGTATGGCCAAGATTTTAAATTGGAGGGATGTCATCGTCAAAATTAAAAGTACAATGACACTGCTAGAACAAATTGGCCCCAAAATTCAGGCACTATGGGCTTAATCTCTTTTTTTGTCCCTTCCTATGATATCATTATATCAGCTTGATTAAAGTCAAGTTTCAATCCATCTTTGTTTTTTCGAACTCTAATACGGGGGTATTTCTGAGAGTCCTTCGCGAACGGATCCTCGAGCCCTCGATAGGAGCTGGATGAAAGGAAAAGCCCTATGAGTAGTGGCTTGGAATTTGCAAATCTTGTTGGTTTATCTATGATGATGTGCATCTCCGAAGTCTTTGACAGCGTGGGAGTTGTTCGAATTTTATGAATCCTGCGAGTCGATAGAAAAAACATTGATGGGCTAGAATTAATTTCCTCATGTTGTCATTCTTTGCATATTTAGGATGATATTGTTATCGTATTATAGTCTCTATTAATCCTATAGATGTAAGGTGAATGCTGCTCTACATTAACACTCCTCTCAGTCTTAGGTAAAGTTGCGGCTTGGCAATCACGTTTCTTTTTCATGTGTTTTAGAAGTTCACAGTAACGAGGAATTTACAATTCATTGTGTAGATGGATGATAGTAAAATCCAAATGGCGGTAGCGGGTGCAACCGTAGCAGTTGTCTGCAGGACGCAAATTTGGTTAAAAGGGCTCGGCATGCATGTGAATTTGACCCTTTGCCCCGTCTCTGTTTGATGGTGTTCGACAGTGTGCTGCTGCTGCTGCTTCTGCTGCTATTGTCCTCGCGGTCCTAGCAAGTGAGTTATCGTTCTCTCTCAAGTATTCATTCTTCATAACCAATCACCAATGAAAACAAAGGTTATGATGTGATTTTGCTTCTTTTATCTGGTTGCCCATCAGCTGTTTGTAATAATGTCTCAGCGAGAATTGTGGTGGTTGCACTCTCTGTAGTGTTAGTCTTTTGCCCTTGGCCTTTTAAGCATGAAGATAATAGGTATATTCCCCGTAACTTTGTTGACTTGTCTGGTGGGGCATTAGGTATTGATATATTCATGCTTTTGTCATGTGAGATTATGATTTTCTGGCTTATGCTCGAAAGGTGTAGTTTTTTCTAAATTGTCTACTGGGTATTAAGATTGAATGCATCAGTCTTTCATGGTACTTTCGCCGAGTAAATTGTGAAGGGTCTCGTTAGCAAGTGCCCCTGAGGCTAGTTAAGCTAACTAGAATCAGAACTCACACTTTCAAGACATTTTGAGATGAATGTACACGTTTTAACAAATCACTTGCTTCAAATTTACGCTTAAAGGTTGCAAAGCATATTTAATAATGCTTAACAAGTGCCTAAGGGACGTGCTTTAACATTTTCCGATTTCGAATGCATCACTCTTTCATGGTAGTTTCACTGACTGGAAATTAGACTTCAAGGTGAAAGAATCTATAACATCCTGAATTTTGACCTGTTATCGGGATCAATAAAGTGTATATTAATTCTCGTTTGATTTTAGTAAGTCTCGCCCGGACTTGATCAATCACGGGATACTAACCAAATGGGAAAGGCTAAATAGGATCAGGTACGTGGACCGAGGAACCGATCGCGATTGAGTGCCGAGTTCGAGAAACGTCGAGGGAATATTTTGGACCAATATGGGCCGATCTTAGGAAAATGATGGATTGATATAGTCAGATACGTACGATCGGATCGCGGGTGATTCCGCACGACCGAAAGTACGCCTGACTAACGAACCCCGATTTTAATCCAAACGATCGCGACCCCCGGTACTAGTGATAATTCCTCTCGTTCTCTCGAAATTCAAGGCCATCATGACTCGGACAATCCTAGGTCGATACGCGTAACACCTAAACAGTCGCCCGTTAGTGAGAGGCCCTAAGACTTCGAAACGAGTTATTTGATCGCAATATTGAGCCCGAACTTCGATATCAAAATTTCAAGAGTAATTACGACTATTTTGCAAGACGGACGTCATTTTATAGTGGCCACACATGTTTGGGAGTAATATGGATGAAAACGGAAGTTTCGACAGAAATTGGGGAAAATTACAATTTTGCCCCTGGGGACTTCGATGTCCATTTCTGAGGCCAAGCGAGGTTATTTTTCGAGGCCGATGCCATTTTTGGGTGGCCACGCATACCGGGAGTCGTTATGGACAAAAACAGGAATTTCGACAAAAATTGGAAAAATAATATTATTTTATTCTCGAAAACTTTGCAGTCAGTTTTCGAGAGCTTAAAGAATGAATTTCGCGGATCCGACACCATATTATGTTGGCCACGCACATATGGAACACGTATGTGCGAAAATTGGAATTTCGGTTCGGGATCGGAAAATTACGAAAATGCCCCTAGGCCATTTTTGAGTAATTCCGAAAATTGGTAAATTTTTGGGATTTAACCAAGGTTGGTTAAGGCTAAACCAGGTCTGGTCAGCTTGGGTTAAGGACAAATGACCATTTTACCCCTACATTATTGGATTGGATCAAATTTGGGCCATTGGATTAGGGGCAAAAGTGTCCAATGCTATGGATTAATGACACTTGGAATCCACTCACACTTGTTGACCCATATTTGACCAGACTATTCTCTCTCTCCTCAGAACCATTCGGCCATTTCCCCCAAAATTCTCTCCCATTTCCCCGTTTCTGTTCTGCCGTGCTCCATTCTGCTGGTTCTGGTACTGTTCACGCCGGAACAGTACCAGCCGGAGCTGTCCCCGCCAAGCCAGCACCACCAGCAGCCCTTTCTGCCCAAGACAAGCCACCACAGCCCCGGTTTCAGCCTAAACAGAACAGAAACAGCAGCTAATTGTCTTCGCCGGTGTCGCTGCGGACCGCCGGCTTGCACCGGAGCGCCGCCGTCGATCCTTACCGTTCGTCGGTGATCGACCGCCCGTTCCCGTCGTCCCGAATCGTTAATAGGCGAGTATAAACCCCTAAACCCCTAATTAGTTTAATTGTGCATTTTTAGGGGTTAATTAGGCCTAAATGAGGGTTAATTAGGCTTAATTGTGTGTGGGATGTTTTGTATGGGTCCTGAGGATCTAATGAGATGATTTAATGGTGGTTTAATGGCCTAAATTGTGATCTGGTCTGGTACTGTTCATGAGTACCGAAAATGCTAAATTTTGTTCAAGTTTTGTACTAATTGAGTTCAATGGTTAATGACTTAAAATTAGGCATTTGGTAGACTAATTAAGCTTATTTGAGGCTTAATTATGTGTATTTGGTGGTTGGATGTTTAGGGTAGGTGATTAGGGCTTAATGAGATGGTTTAAAGGTGAATTAGTGCCTAAATGTGCATTTTTCCTGGTACTGTCATGGGGCTCCGAAATTGTTTTAATTTGTCTAAGTTTGTACTAATTGGGTTCAATTGTTGGTGACCTTGAATTGGTCATTATAGGGCTTAATTAAGCTTAATTGAGGCTTGATTATGTGTATTTGATGTTTGGGTGATTATAGTATTTGATTGAGGCCTAATGGAATTGTTTAGGGGTAGTTTGGTGCAAAATGGACATTCGGTTCTGGTACTGTTCACCAGAACCGAATTGTACCATTGGGCTTAATTGGAGACTTAATTGGTTCTTTGGCTATTGACTTGAGTTTGGGCATTTTTAGGGGTTGGTTAGGACTTGTATAAATTCCTATTGAAGGACCCCGAAGTGGTGAGAACGACCATCGGAATTGGTTTGCCCAAGCCGGGCCCGAGGCGCATGAAACTAAATTGTAACGAATGCGCGGAATGAACTTGAAATGGATTGGATTAGAATGGAAAATGCTTGGACATGCCAAGAATGAGTGGAATAGGTTTGATTTGGGCTTAGTTATGCTTGGTAATTTGACATTGGTATTTAACCTTAAATTCCCGAGCATATGTTTTGCATATCAAGTGGCGATTGGTTGAAATTGAGTGAAACGATGTACTTGCCTGAGTTATAATCAATTGTGGCCTTCGGGTCGGGCCTACGGGTCGTTATAATCAATTGTGGCCTTCGGGTCGGGCCTACGGGTCGATTTATCAACTGTTGGCCTTCGGGTCGGGCCTACGGGTCGTTTTATCAACTGTGGCCTTCGGGTCGGGCCTACGGGTCGTTATAATCAATTGTGGCCTTCGGGTCGGGCCTACGGGTCGTTTTATCAACTGTGGCCTTCGGGTCGGGCCTACGGGTCGTTATATCCAACTGTGGGCCTTCGGGTCGGTATAATTGCACTTGACTTATATTGATATCAAATGCCTAACCTGCAGGGCTAAGATAATGTATAAGGCGGTGAGCCGGGAATGTATTAACGTTGTTTTACCGGTTCATTGGTTGATGCGTTTTATTTACCTTCTGGAGGTGCACATTAGCCTAGTTTAGGATTAGTGGTTTGTACTTGCTGAGTTTTCTCACGGTTGTGGTAAAACCGACATTTTCAGACCCCCGTCCATAGAATGCCGAGGAGCAGGACCC